GTATCAGGAGAGTGCGTACAAGAGTATGTGGTCCATCTGTGACTGCTAGTAGCAAATATCTCCTACGGCCAAAGATGGGACATTAGATCACAAGGGCTCTGAGTTACTACACTGAGTTCTTTTCCACTTGTGTGTCTCGCTGATATGCTCTGGGTCTAACTGATTTCTGCATTTGGGGCCGGGAAGGAATTTCCCTCCAGGTCAGATTGGCAGAGACCCTGGTTATTTTTGGCCTTCCTCTGCTGCATGTTAAATTAGAGTAAATGGTGGATTCTTTGTAACTTGAAGTCTTTTAAATCAAGATTTGAGCACTTCACTAACTCAGAGGTTGCGGGTCTGTTACAGGGTGGGTGAGAGACTGTGTCCTGTAGTGTGCAGGGGGTCAGACTAGATCATCATGATGGTCCTTTGTGGCCTTAAAGTCCATGAGTCTAAGAGATGTTGTACTGCCCCTCCAGAAAGCAAGTTGTAGGTAGAAGATCTTCCTTGTGAAGGAGATGAATTATGCATCAAGAAAACTGAAATGTTAGAGAAGGTGAAGAATTCAAGGTCTACAGTACTTTGTTTTTCAACCTGTTGGAAGAAGGACCTGTGTGTCCTCTTTTAAGATACTGTAGGGAGTTCAATCCACCATATTGGTAGTCTTATTCTTGGAGTGCACTGTTGTGGAGGAGCTGGTGGACATGGTCAGTGTTCCCTCTAATTTTTCCCACCTATGTGTGGAATGAATTTTGTTATGTGCCCCAATAAGGAGGTGATCTGTGACACACCAGTTCTGGCAGGGCTGGGCCGGACCAGGCTCCAGGGGAGGGGCTCCTGTCCCCGGCCGCGGCAGTTCCGGTGGGCCTGGGCCGGGCCGGGCTGGGGGACCTGCCAGCCCTTAACAGCTGCGCAGCTTACAGGAAACCTAGGTCATGGTACATATAGATACCAATGAGATAGGGAAGGGCAGGAGAGAGGTCTTGAAGGCCAAATGTAGGCTAAGTGAGAGATTGGAACTTCCATAGTACCAGAATCTGAAATGCTTTCTGTTCCATATTCAGGTGCAGCCAGCCAGGCAGAACTGCAGGGTGTCAATGTGTGGATGAGACCATGGTGTTAGGAGTAAGGATTTAAGTTTATTAGGAACTGGGGAACCTTCCGGGAAAGGAAGAGCGTATACAGGAAGGATGGGCTCCACCTAAACAAAAGTTCTGGCATGTAAAATTGAAAAGATCATAGAGGAGCTTTTAAACCAAGGGCTGGTGGAAAGCTGACAGGTACTCCCTTAGGGGATGATTTATTAACAGGGATACTCTATATTCTAGCAAAGAGGAGAGAAGTACAGGTAGGAACTGAACAGAGAAGCAATCAAACGAAAGAGCCCCATCAGTTGCATCACCTGAAGGCAGACTACTAAATATTTACAAATTTTATGTGTGCTTGTATACAAATGCAAGAAGTCTAAATACCAAGATGAACAAACTTGAGTATTAAATGAGGCTGTTGATATAATAAGCATCACAGAAACTTGATGGAACAATGATAATCTATGAACACGGGTAATACCAGGGTACAAAATATATAGGAATGACGAAGTAGGTCGTGCTGGTGGGGGAGTAGCATTTTATGTGAAACAAAACATAGAATCAAATCTAATAAAAATCTTAAATTAACCAAACTGTATCCTAGAATCTCTATGGATAGAAATTCCGTGCTTGACTAATAAGAGTATAGTAGTAGGAGCGTACTACTGACTACCTGACTAGGATGGTGAGATGTTCAGGAAGATTGGAGAGGCTACAAACATAGCAGCAAACCCAATAATAATGGAGGATTTCAACTACGGTAGAATCTCAGAGTTATGAAAGCCACAGTTACGAAGTGACTGGTCAATCACATATTTCACTTTGAACCGGAAGTACACAATCAGACAGCAGCACAAGCACACACGCATGCAAGTACAGTACTGTTAAACATAAACTACTAAAAAAAAAAAAAAAAAAAAAAAAAAAAAAAGATTTGACAAGGCAAGGAAACTATTTTTGTGCTTGTTTAATTTAAATTAAAATGGTTAAAAGCAGCATTTTTCTTCTTCGTAGTAAAGTTTCAAAGCTGTTTTAAGTCAGTTCAGTTGTAAACTTTTGAAAGCACAACCATAATGTTTTTTGTTCAGAGTTAAGAACATTTCAAAGTTATGAACAACCTCCATTCCTGAGGTGTTTGTAACTCTGAGGTTCTACTATATCCTTGTATACTGGATAGATGCTAACTCCGGATGGGATGCAGAAATAAAACTTCTAGACGAAGGCTGTGTCTACACTGCCATTTTCAGCGCTAAAACTTTTGTTGTTCATGGGTGTGGAAAAAAAACCCCTGAGCGACAAAAGTTTTAGTGCTGAAAAGCACCAGTATAGACAGTGCTTTATTGCTGGGAACTCATTCGGGGTGGTTTTATTTTTATTTTTTTATCGCTGGGAGAGCTCTTCCCTGGTGATAAAGCTTGTCTACACTTCCCATGTCACAGTGCTGCTGTGGCCGTGCTGTAACGTGGGCAGTGTAGACATACCCTTAGTGACTAGCTATTCCAGGAAGCAGTCCTGGAAAACGCAAGGGGAGAGACAATTTTTTATTTAGTCCTAAAGCACGGGATCTGGTCCAAGAAGTGAATATAGCTGAACTGCTCAGTAATAACAACCATAATGTAATTAAATTTAACATCCTTGTATGGTGAAAATTGCCAAAGATATCCACCACAGTAGCATTTAATTTCAAAAAGGGGAACTACACAAAAATGAGAGAGCTAGTTAAATGTAAATTAAAAGGAACAGTTACGAAAGTGAAATTCCTGCAAGCCGCATAGAAACTATTTTAAAACACCATATTTGAGGCTCAAACTAAATGTATACCCCAAATTATAAAAACAAACAAAACAAGTAGGAGGACCAACAAATACCACCATGGCTGAACAACAATGTAAGAGAGGGCAGTTAGAGGCAAAAAGACATCCCTTAAAAATTGGAAGTCAAATCCTATTGAGGATCATAGAAAGGCGCATTAACTCTGGCAAGTCAAGTGTAAAAGTATAATTATGCAGGCCAAAAACAAATTTGAAGAGCAACTAGCAAAAGACACAAAAACTAATAGCAATTTTTAAGTATGTCACAAGCAGGAAGCCTGACAAGCTATCAGTGAGGCCACTGAATGATCGAGGTGCTAAAGGAGCACTCAAGGAAGACGAGGCTGTTGTGGAGAAGCTATGTGAATACTTTGCATCAGTCTTCACTGCAGAGGATGTGAGGGAGATTCCCGCACCTGAGCCATTCTTTTTAGGTGACAAATCTGAGGAACTGTCCCAGGTTGAGGTGTCAGTAGAAGAATTTTGGAACATATTGATTAATTAAACAGTAATAAGTCAGCAGGCCCAGGTGGTATTCACACAAGAGTTCTGAAGGAACTCAGATATGAAATTGCAGAACTATTAACTGTGATATGCAAGTTATTGCTTAAATCTGCCTCTGTACCAGATGACTGAAGGGTAGCTAGTGTAACGCCAATTTTTAAAAAAGTCTCCAGAGGCAATCCTGGCAATTACAGGTTGGTAAACCTAAGTTCAATACCAGGCAAATTGGTTGAAACTATAATGAAGAATGTAATGATCAGACACAGAAATACAGTATGTTGGGGAAGAGCCAGCACAGCTTTTGTAATGGCTATCTGACCAATCTATTTGAATTCTTTGAGGGTGTCAACAAGCATGTGGACAAACGTGATCTCATGGATATAGCGTACTTGGACTTTCAGAAAGCCCTTGGCAAGGTCCCCTCTCAAAGGTTCTTAGCAAAGCAAGCAGTCATGAGGTAAGAGGAAAGGTCCTTTCACAGATCAGTAATTGGTTAAAAGATAGGAAACAAAGGTAGGAATAAATGATCAGTTTTCACAATGGAGAGACGATCTGTACTGGAACCAGTCCTATTCAACATATTCATAAATGATCTGGAAAAAGGGGTAAATAGTGAGGTGGCAAAGTTTGCAGGTGATACAAAATTACTCAAAACAGTTAAGTCCAAAGCAGATGTGAAGTGTTACTAAGGGATCTCTCAAAACTGGGCGACTGGGTAACAAAATGGCAGATGAAATTCAGTGGTGATTGGTGCAAAGTAATGCATATTGGAAAACATAATCCCAATAATACATACAAAATGATGGGTGTCTATCTTAATTAGCTACCACCGGTCAAGAAAGAGCTCTTGTAGTCATTGTGAGTAGTTCTCTGAAAACATCTGCTCAGGGTGTGGTGGTAGTCAAAAAAGCTAACAATGTTAGAAACCATGTGAGCAGTGTGATCAGCACTGCAATGAGGTGATTACACCCTTTGAGCTGCGACAGCAACCTTAATCTATGAGTGTGAATGTGCAGAGTCCATCTGAAAGAACTCCAGTTATAAGTAACCTTCATTTTCTGTCACTGTAAACTTGCTCTGTCACAGGCTCCCCAATAGAAGCTATTACAGGTGCTAAAACCAAATTGGGCCTGTGCCATTCATGTGGTTGGTAACCAGGGGTTCTGCAGCCCAGAGATCCAGTCTAAGTATGGTTGGACTGCATGACTCTGCGCAGAGTGAGGTGCAGGAAGGCAGTCCAGTCACACAAGGGATGGATGCATTTGAGAGGAAATAAAGAGGTCCAAGGTACAGTTTGTCCTGTAGCCATGACACGATCTAAAAATTGAAAACAATCAGCTTTGTTCAGGGGTTTTTAAATATTAAATATCTAATTATGTAGACACACATTCATATTAGAATAACCGTATCTCTGTTTCATATTCAAAATTACACTCGTTTGAGAATTTGGTTTGATTATTTCTGTCTGTGGACTGCTGTGCTCTTATATTTACATGGTAGAGTCTGTGTGTTAAGCTAAAGAGAAATTCATTCCATTAGGTAAATATTTTTATGGCTGAACTGATCAAAGCATCCTGATAATGGGTCTTCTGTTAAAATGTGTGTTGTACTTTTTTAGATCATTGAAGTTGGACTATGTGAAGTTTTTGAATTGATCAAGGAGACAAGATTTTCTCATCCATCACTGTGTCTCAGGAGTCTGCAAGCTCTGCTTAATGTGCTCCAGGGCCAGCAGCCAGAAGGCCTCCAGTCAGAGCCTCCTGAAGTTCTAGGTAATATTTCATACTTTTGCTTGAGCTTATGTTTGGCGCAAAAAAAAAAAGATCATTAGCAGGCAATGAGAAGAGGATGGTGTGTTTTCATCTATTTTTTATATAAGGGATTTGTATTCAGTTCTCTGTTATAAGCTGATACATTTAATTTTTGTTCTGGGGCCATGACTCCCTCAAGGGAATTGGACATTCTGACCTGTTACCTTTGTAAAAGAGAGATCTCTGTATAGAGAGGGGATATCATTTTGTGCTTTTATGACATTCACTTCACTGGTTATTGGTACACTGTAGTGATACAGAAACCAGAAAGTCCAGCTTGTTGAGGTTCTTTTTGGTTTTACTAATCCTATAAGACATTGGTCTCAGAGAAAAGGCAATACTGTGGAAGGCCACTATCCTATACTACTACTGCATGCTAAAAATTTGTATATTTATCTATTGTATAAAAGTTGAATAATACACAGAGAAATGTCATGTTTTGTTTGTCACTCTTGAACAATGGTATAGTTGCGTATTCACTAATAAATGTAATATCGGTATGTTGATTCTTTGGTTTTTGGTGGTACTGAAAACATGTTGATCTACCTCTTAACAGCTCTGCATATGAAGAGTAGCAAAAGAAGTGCATGCAGTGGAATTAATTACATTGTAGAAATGATCATAGAAAAAGACTTAGCCATAGTAATAGTTAGAAACTCAGGCTGTCCATGCTTGTACTTGAACATGTATTGTTCTAAAACCTGTTCAGACTCCTTGGCTATTGATACCACTGTACATTAGGTATTCACTTGCAGAGGTAACCAATATAACATACGTATGTTTGCATGAAACTTCTAATTATGGTGAGATGTACTGCAGGAAAAATTGCTAGAAGTTGGATTTGATATACAGTTGTATATCAAGCTACATGTTACTGCTTTGTAATACTGCAGCTGACATAAAAAAGAAGTAAACACTAAATAAAGAGGAAGATTTCATCCCTGTTCAACAACTGAACAGGAAGAAGAAACGCACGTGATCACAAGTGTGTTTATTTTCAAGACATAGTTTACAAAAAAAAATAGGGCTGTCAAGCAGTTAAAAAAAAATTGTGATTAATCGCACTGTTAAACAATAATGGAATACCATTTATTTAAATATTTTTGGATGCTTGCTACATTTTCAAATATATTGATTTCAATTACAACACAGAATACAAAGTGTGCAGTGCTCACTATATTTATTTTTGATTACAAGTATTGGCACTATAAAAAAAACCAAAAGAATAATTTTTCAGTTCATCTAATACAAGTACTGTAGTGCAATCTCTTTATCATGAGAGTTGAACTTATAAATGTAGAATTATGTACCAAAAAAACTGCATTCAAAAATAAAACTATGTAAAATTTTAGAGCCTGCAAGTCCACTCAGTCCTACTTCTTGTTCAGCCAATCCCTCAGACAAACAAGTTTGTTTACATTTGCAGGATATAATACTGCCTGCTGCTTGTTTACAATGTCACCTGAAAGTTAGAATGGGCTTTGGCATGGCACTGTTGTAGCCGGCGTCTCAAGATATTTATGTGCCAGATGCGCTAAAGATTCATATGTCCCTTCATGCTTCAACCACCATTCCAGGGGACATGCGTCCATCATGATGATGGGTTCTGCTCAATAACAATCCAAAGCAGTGCGTACCAACGCATGTTCATTTTCATTATCTGAGTCAGATGCCACCACCAGAAGGTTGGTTTTTTTGTTTTGTTTTTTTTTTGTTTTTTTTTTGGTGGTTCAGGTTCTGTAGTTTCTGCATTGGAGTGTTGCTCTTTTAAGACTTCAGAAAGCGATGTTCCACACCTCATCCCTCTCAGATTTTGGAAGGCACTTCAAATTCTTAAACCTTGGATCAAGAGCTGTATCTTTAGAAATGTCACATTGGTACCTTCTTTGCATTTTTTGTGAAATCTGCAGTGAAAGTGTTCTTTAAACAAACAACATGTGCTGTGTCATCATCCGAGACTGCTATAACATGAAATACACCTCTTACTCGATATAATGCTGTCCTCGGGAGCCAAAAAATCTTACCGCGTTATAGGTGAAACCGCGTTGTATCGAACTTGCTTTGATCCACCGGAGTGCGCCCCCCCCCCCCCCC